CACCCGTCCCTCCAACACCCGTCCCTCCAACACCCGTCCCTCCAACACCCGTCCCTCCAACACCCGTCCCTCCAACACCCGTCCCTCCAACACCCGTCCCTCCAACACATCACAGCTGTTTCTGCTGGACCGCTTACTGCAACTCAGCCTTTAATGCGATCGACTGGCAAGTTTGAACTTTGTCCCATGCAAAAAACTTGAATGTATAAACTTTGTCCAAGACTAACAACCTGAATGCATAAACTTTGTCCCAGATAAAGAACTTGAATGCATAAACTTTGTCCTTGACAAACAACTTGAATGTATAAACTTTGTCCCTGGCAAACAACTTGAATGTTTGAAATTTGTCCATGCATGGGGATCAACTTTGATGTTTGAACTTCGGCCGTAGCGATCAACTTGCAACTTTAAGCTTTACCCCAGCGAGCGACCTGGAAGAGAGAAATTTGTCCATGGCGATCAACTTGAAAGTGAACTTTAAACTTTTCCCGCTCACAAACGATTAATATTCACAATACAAGTACTCGATATAGTTTGGAGAACCATGACCTTTGCGGCAGCAAGCGACGCGCAGCGACGGCAGCTTTAACAGCCGCAGCTGAGAAACCGTTGCACCTGCCGGTACCGCTGCACCATACAGCTGAGGGTCAGTTACACCTGCCGTTACAGCTGCATCCCGCAGCTGAGGGTCCGTTACACCTGCCGGTACAGCTGCATCCCGTAGCTAAGGGTCCGTTACACCTGCCGTTACAGCTGCACCCCACAGCTGAGGGTCAGTTACACCTGCCGTTACAGCTGCATCCCGCAGCAGAGGGTCAGTTACACCTGCCGTTACAGCTGCATCCCACAGCAGAGGGTCCGTTGCACCTGCCTTAACACCTGCTTTTTTAAGCACTCATGGTGATTGCGGCACTGACTTGTGTCAGAATTATTGGCGGCAGATGAAATTAACAATTGATCCGAATCTTGGCTGCCACGAAGATCAACATGCAGCGAAAACGCCAGGCAGAAAATTTAATCAATACCTGCATTGGAATTCTGCCTTCACCGCCTCAACAGATCGCAGTTGTTTCTTCGCGCAGCGACGGCAGCTTTAACAGCCGCAGCTGAGAAACCGTTGCACCTGCCGTTACAGCTGAACACTGCAGCTGAGGGTCCGTTATATCTGCCTTCACAGCTGCATCCCGCAGCTGAGGGTCAGTTACACCTGCCGTTACAGCTGAACACTGCAGCTGAGGGTCCGTTATACCTGCCGTTACAGCTGAACACTGCAGCTGAGGGTCCGTTATATCTGTCGCTACAGCTGCATCCCGCAGCTGAGGGTCCGTTACACCTGCTGTTACAGCTGCATCCTGCCGCAGTAGGTCCGTTACACCTGTCGTTACAGCTGCATCCCGCAGCTAAGGGCCCGTTAAACCTGCCTTAACACCTACCCTTTTTTAAGCACTCATGGTGACAGCGGCAATAACTTGTGTCAGAATTATTGGCGGCAGACGAAATTAACATTTGATCCGAATTTTGGCTGCTACGAAGATCAACATGCAGCGTCAACATCAGGCAGAAAATTTAATTAATACTGCATTGGAATTCTGCCTTCACCGCCTCAACAGATCGCAGTTGTTTCTGCTGGACCGCTGGACCCCGACACCTAACAGATCGCTTCTGTTCTGCTGGACCGCTGAGAGCCAGCACAACCGATCGCCGCTGTTTCAGTTGGACCGTAGACAGGAAGCGCAAGCCAATCCAGCATGTCACAAGCGACCATTATCAGAACTATCATTCAGTCATTATGCTGTAAAAACACTCCTTTTGAAATCTGTGTACGGTATAAAAAATTACAGTATCTGAACTTGCAGTATTAGAAATTACAGTATCATAACTCACAGTATTATAACTAACAGTACATTCGCGATACATATGCATGATGCACACATGCTCTGTATTGTATGTTCGCGAAAAGCAATCATGTTATACGCC